GACATGAACAAAGACATAACTCACTACTGCCAGTCATGTCAGGAGTGTAGTATGCAAAGGCAACCTTTGCCAGGACATCAGGCACCCTTACAGATTTTTCCCAGAATTACTAAGGTATTCGAGAGGACAGCCCTGGATATTCAAGGCCCCTTTCCAACTATACACAATGGCAGTAAATATTTATTAGTCTTCGTGGATCACTTTTCGCATTGGGCCGAGGCAGTGCCGTTGCCCGATGTATCCGCAAAAACGGTCGCTAGAGCATTTGTCACGCAAGTAATCTTAAGACACTCGGTTCCAAAGCAGCTATTAACCGATCAAGGCGCAAATTTCACATTCAAGATGATGCGGGAGATTTGTGAACTTTTGCAGATAGAAAGACTGCTCACCACCGCACCACCCACAATGCAATGGGATGGTAGAGCAATTAAATAGAACCTTAGTAGATATTTTGACACACTACACAGATGTAGACCAACGCAATTGGGACGAGATGGTCCCGTTTGCTCTTTTCACATATAACACCACTGTGCATTCTAGCACAAATGACCCTTACTATTTAGTGTATGGGAGCGATCCCGTGTTTCCATTCGATGTGGTCACTGAACCTAGCCAACCAAGTTACGATGTTAGTGAGAACTATGCGAGTGAACTGAGGGCAAGGTTAGCTTTAGCTCATAGATTGGCGCAGAAACATGCAGAGAAAGCAGCTCAGGACAGGAAGGTGTACCACGATCGCAAAAATAAACCTCATAAATTTGTAATCGGCGACAGAGTTTTTGTGACGCAGGTAGTAGTCCCTACAGGGTTAAAAAGGAAGTTATTACCTAGATGGCAGGGACCGTATAGGATAATAGCGGAGACTAGTCCAGTCGACTTTGTCGTCCAACATATCCTTACGGGAAAGAAGTTACGCACGCACGCACGCAAATAGAATAAAACCTGCTGTCGCGCGAATGGAATTTGAATCCTTCGCTGCCGACAAGCTTAGTCTGGAGACAGAGAAATCCGAAAACTCAGTCCCGGAACCACAAACCCCCGAAATAATAGATCCCTGGGATGACTTCATCCTAAATTCGATACAACCTGATCAGGAAGAGTCAGCGAAAACTGTAGAAATTAGTCAACACGCGACCGCAACTCAACAGATACGCTTTGAGGAGTCAGGGACCTGCAGACGAATATCCTTGGGTACTGCCCGAAACGCATAGACATGGGCAAACGGTGGAACCTCTCCACCAAGACATGGATGCGGGAGACGTGTCAACGCATCTGAGCAATGATCTAGAATCTTTGCCGCCGCCTACACCCATTGGGCTATTTACCCAATGTAAATGGTGAGCTCTTCTGAGGGGAGAGGTCACCATGTGTAAAGGAAAATGTGTAAAATCTAAACCTGTCGATGACGTACGATGGTCATGAAACAGAACTAATGTTTGTAATTACTTTTCATTTTAGATTATGAATGTAAACCTGATGGCAATCCAGGTCGTGGTGATTGCCCTGACCCTCGCTGTGGAAATTTCCATAATTGTGCCACCTTTGACCAAGGGGATAATATTCCTCCCTCGGAAATTTTTTTATGACTACCAGCCAATGGACGATCGCGATAGAAATTTTGTTTGAGGAGTACGATAAACATATCAATTTATGATACCAGCTGAATTTTTTTTTTTTTTTTTTAGAATTCTTCCAAAATCAGAAGGAAAAGAGATGGAAGAGAGTTCTAATGATGGTAATAACTGTGAGGAAGAAAAGACACCCGCCTCTCCTACGACATTAAACGAGAATCCAACAATTATCTCCTTGATGGAGTGTCCAGTGTGTTACGAGAACTTGGTGGCTCCCATTTTCCAATGCATGGCCGGTCATCTCCTATGCGGCAGTTGCAGGGGACGAGTACATCAGTGACCCACTTGTCGAGGATATCTCGGGGAGTTAAGAAACCTCACAATGGAGAAGATGGTGGAGGCTATAGCTCTTCCCTCCCAGTTTAAGGATAATGGCTGCCAAGTTGTACAGAAATTGCAAAAGCGAAGGATTCATGAACAGCATTGTCTGTACCAGAAATGTGAGTGCCCTTCTTTGGTTCCAACTTGCTCCTGGGAAGGGGCTTTCCAGACCTTAGTGGAGCATCTTCGTTACCGTCATCGTTTGATGGTCTTGGTGAAAGCTGTGCCCATAAAGTTATCGCTCGTGGGTCTGGATTCGACTCATCCCTTGTTGTGGGCTACTCGGATGAATTGTCACGGACATGAATTTGTTATCCAGGTAAAGAAAAGTGAGACAGAGGGTAACTGTGGCCGTATAAGTCTCGTCATTCGCTTTGTGGGAAGCAAAAGAGGAGTGAGCCGATTTCAAAGTTTCCTCTTAGTAGGAGGAAAAGGAAAGGCTCTTGCGTGGAATTCAGCTCCAAAAAGTGTCATGGAGGAGACGAGAAAAATTAGAGGAGGAAGAATGTCTAACGGTGTCCACAAAATTCGTGAGTCAACTTACAATAAGCCAAACCTTAAGTGTTGTAGTCTCCGTGGAACCCATTGGTTTCTAAGCTGTCAAAGTGGCCCTCTTTCAAGGGACCAAGGACAATAAATGAAAAAAAAGGGGAAAAAGTAATTATTTGATTTTTTTTTTTATTTTTGCTTTCATATAGAATGGCAGGGAGAGCCCTACGCGGGCAATCCACAGGGAGAGTGCCGCGGATGCTCTTCATGGAACCTGCATGGGACGATTGGGAGATACCCCATACCATTCTCTTTGGAACTGGTGAATAGGAAGAACCCTTCAACATACTGCTAAGGTAGAAGTGATAAAGCAAGCCCTCCAAAAGACCCAGCAGGTTAATGAAGAACCGGACCAAGCACCTGAATTTATGATACTACCCTGGCAAATGGACGTCCCGAATACATTGAAGGAAGAAATTCTACAACTGAATTGAGAAACTGCTCGCCAATTAGGAGAGGGAGAGAGTGATAAAATGGGCCTCACCCTTGGAGAACAAACAGATCAGGAAGAGAACCCTTTAGACCAACCCGCCACGGAAACCACAGTCGAACCTGGCGCTTCGGTCAGAGGCTGTGGGTGAGCTCCACGCTTCCTGTATGGAGCGAGGAGGGCAGGGGGAGAAATAAAGGATTCAGAACCTGGGCGGAAATGTCTTTAGAAGAGCGGGAGGTGGGCAAGAGGAAGGGCTAGGTCCTTCCCTCCGCGACCTCCCAGTGCCCAGAGATAAATGGAAAAGAAAGGAAGGGGGACCTTTGCCCTCCAAGCCTCCTAGGACACGCCAGTCAAGAAAAAAAATTGTTACTAGAAAAAAGGGGGACAGGAAATTGGTGAATGTATTCTTTGTAGTATGGGAAAATATTTTTAAGTAGTTAGTAGACAGAATAGAGTTCTCCTAAGTGCTCTGGTGACAAAGCACCCACCACTTTAGGATGGAAGGGAATGTAACTACACACAAGAGTGTGAAATATTCTGTGTATACCTGGTACTTGGGTGAAACATTGTGATCACTAGAGATGATAGATGGGAGAATATAGAAAAACAAAGGTTTTTTGTTATGTTTTCTAATAAATATAATCCTTGTCATGACCACCATTTTCTCCTGTTGAATGTGACGCGACACCTACAACTCGACAGCCACGCGAGCGCGAGCTATCAGTTCATTGTCCGATCCTGAGTGGACCTCTCTTTTTGAGGGGACGGCCATGAGGCACAAAGGCAACGGTTAAAATATCGCATCCAGTGGAAACATTTTAAACAAAAGGGGAGTGCCCTGTGAGGACCCAAATGGGGTCCGAAAGGAGGCCATTAACAACTTTTTGAATGAGTCAAGTTTCGTAGCGTGAAAGAGAGAACTTAAAGATCAGATTTAAACAATGAACCTTTTGTCTTGTTAAAAGATTTTAAACAATAGATAAAGTCGAGGAAAACAAGGTTGGAGAGGAGTCGTGTTCCGACGCGACGTTGACCTCTCCCGCGCCCTTTGGTGTGGTTTCGAATTGTCACCAGGTGACAAGGAGAGACCAATGGAAAGGCGGCTGAGGTTGAGGAATCTATAAAACAGTGCGATTCAAGTTACAAATGTTCTTGGTTCATAGTCTTACCCTCCTGGACGTGTGTCCCCCCACGGGATCTTGAAAAAAGAACGTTTCGGATCGAGTGGAAGCAACCTTATCTGCAGTGCCACCGGACGACCTCCAGGCTCATCAGTTCACCCAAGAAAGACCACTGGAAGCACTGCCATTCACCCCGGGGCCGACAATTATTAGTTCGTCGTCGCCAAACTGAAGGAAACGGAAAAACGGACTTTTCGAACTCTATTGAACTTTATCCTCGTGCTCCGTGGTGTGATAATACGTCAATCAAGAAAAGATTGTAAGAAATTATAATTTTATTAAACAGTTTTATATGGGAAACCTGTCTTGGTGAATCATTCTGCGCCCACACGACAGTAATGACTGCTCGGCTGTCTAAAACACCTCACCCCTAATCGGCTGACCTCACTGTTGCAGTGTTCAACTTCCTCAATTGGTTATGTGACAAAACATGATAACCTCCAGTGTTTTTTGTTTAAATTCTCTATATATCAGTTATTTCTGTGTATATTAATTGCTATTTTTGTTAACCATTGTATGTAATTGTATATTATATTTATTTTGTAATGGCTTATAATTTTGTATTTTTTAATTTTTGCAAAGAGCAATTTTAAAATGTGTTCTATCTCTAGATTTATAATATTCCATCTGCCATATTACCTGAAGAATATTGTGTTATATACTGTCAAAAGTGCTCATACTCATTACTTAAACATATTTACTGGTAATGCCAATACAGTTTTTATATATTCATTTATTTTTAGTAAGTGGCATCACTTGTTTTTATCTCATTAGTTTGGTTTGTTTATTTTCTCATATTTTTCAATTACATAAATATTTACAACTGTGATAATATATTATATAACATGGATATATGAATATTATGAATATTTTATTTATTAACAGCTTCTTTATGACTGGTTATCTTCCACTTGGTTTTGAATTTGCAGCTGAAATTACTTACCCTGAAGCAGAAGGAACATCATCTGGTTTGTTAAATGCATCAGCACAGGTATAATCAGATATATTTTTAATTTTGCAATGAATGGAATAATTTTATATAATTAATGTGCAATCTTTTAAAGGTATTTGGAATACTCTGTACAACAATAGCATCATCAATTTTGAATCATAATGATTTATATGCCAATCTCTTCTTAATTTCTGCCTTATTTTTAGGAACATTAATAACAGGTAATTTTCAAAGATTTTAAGAGATTATGTTTAAACTATTGTAATTATTGTATTACAAGTTACATGTCTGATCATTGAAATAAAAAGATATATACTACTTTGACAAAAAAATTGATAGGCCTGTAGTGATGCATGCACACAGGTGGCCAAATTCCTAGTGGCCAATAGGACACTTTAATAAAATAAAATTCAAATATAATCTATTTTAATATAGTGGTCGGTAATGAAATAGATTAATGTTTGCGTGATTACTGATGATACAGCTGTGCAGTTTATGGATATAAATAACACCGAAGTATGCATGTTTAAGTGTTTTGCATCAGAAAAATTAAAAATGCAAGTAACAGGTGATGGGGGATTAGTCTGTTGAAGAAAAAATTTATCAGTGGAAATTCATAACCATTAAGATTTTTTTGTTTTAAATCACACAAACAGCATAAAAACTTAGAGTTTGTAAACTTTTAAAGTTTGCACACTCCAAAGCTTTACTTTGGAGTTAATGTCTTATGATTAAGTTTAAGGTTACCCTTACATAACTCATTGTGAATGGTTGTATTAAGTAATACAGTTACATGGTTTTATGTTTATGCTTAATTTTCATTGTGAATGGAATAGAGAATAAAATTACAGAATTAATCTTGTGAGCATTTTTTTTTATAATTTTCAATTTATACTAAAAAATATTATATGAATGTATTTCTTAAATTGTGTGACTTAATTGACTGAATGTGATCACTCACATTTTTTGATTAAAATTATTTATCATATTACTATGTAAGATTTTTGCATATAATCAAATATGAAAATATTCTAATAGTTAAATAACATGAAGTTTTTATCTGAATGTTGTATGTTTTTATCATCATTATTATTATAATTTGATAGATAACTAATTACTAGTATTATCAATTTAAATTTATTAAAATATTTATTTTGATGATAAACTTTCACAATCTTCAATATCTATTTTTGCTTTCTAGTATTTATAAAGTCTGAACTCAGACGTCAGCAAGCAACTCAAGTTTCATTCAACAATGTTGAAAATTCTCGCTTGATGGATGGTCGTGCGTGATCAACATTTGATTATCAAAATATATTTTAATATATGTATCAATTTTTCAAATTAACAAAATACAGAAAAATTGTATTTAGATTTAAATGCCAAATACTGGTGCTAGTGTGCACATTGTTCTAAAAACAGTAAATTTTGTATGTCGAAAATAGTTGTAGTTTATATATAACATATATATTATTGTAACTATTTGTATAATAAGTTTACAATACTTAATGAATTATTTTTTGAGTGAATATATGAAAGTAAAAATTTTAAAAATACCATCTAACAAACTTTTCTATTTATAGTATAATTTTTTGATGATCAAACTTTCTTTGTTGGTGGTTTAAATAGAAAAACAATAAAATAAATACTTTGATATTGTTACCTGTATGATATTTAAATCTGTATAAATAAAATTCCTTTTTATTGTATTTATGTTAAATATATACTTATTAAAAATATTTGTACTTAAATAAATTTTATTCTACAGTAATATAAAAAATAATGTAGAAAGGTAGGGATTTTTAAAGTAGGATATTTCTTGATACAAATATATTTTCAATTCACTTTAGTAGCCAAAAAACTATTTAAAAAGCAATAATGACTAACATGTCTAAAAATGTTTGTAGAATTACACATTTGTTGTTTACAAAATTTTTAATATTAAAGTTTATAAAGTATTATCAATGTGTGGATATATTTTGATATAATAAAATTTAAATTTAATTTGTTTGTTTTTTTTAGAAATAAGTTATGAAAAAATTAACAATTAATTTAGGCAGATTAATATTGATTAAATTATTCATTTTGGAATTAAGTTACAATTAGTATAATTCATTAATGTGATCTTTATATTATGTTAAGAATTAGCTAATTCACTTGCAAAATTAAAAATCAACTGATTTCTTTCAAAAAATCAGGTTGATGAAGCTGGTTTTCCTCTCTAGAAATCATGTCCTCTTCAGGACAACTACAAAGTAAGAAAACACAGTTGTATATAAAAAAATTTATTTAAAATATAAGTGTTTTCTTTCCTTGAAAGAACTGAGTTTCTTAATTTAACAATTCAGGCTTCCTCTAGCTCAACTTGTATCTGACTCCAAGGTGTTTGCTACCAATGCAATATTCTGTTGTTTCTTGGCCATATAGATGTTCTTTTATCTTTGAGAGTGACCTCAGTCATTCCACGTAGGTACTCCATTCTCTTATGTATTCTGTTATCCTTGATAGTATCTTGTATACTCTGTATATGATCTCATATACAGAGTATACAAGATACTATCATACAAGAGATCATATACAGAGTAGGGTTGTGTTCCTCCAGTAGAAAATATGTAGAGTTGGCAATCTGAGAAGCCTATTATAGTTAATAAGTTCAAAGTTCTGGTCCCTTCTCTGCTTGCCTTGTTGTATTTGTCAAAGTTTCCTTATGGTTTGTAGATTGCACTTGTGTTTTCTAGCAGTGTCTGTGTAATTTCATTCCACCTGTCTATTGGTAATGCTAGAATAATGTGAGAATGTCCTAGCAATCAGTGTTGTAGGCCTATACTGCTGTTCTAATAAGGAATCATGTAGCCATTCCAGGATGAAGGTAGTTTGATAGCAAAACTTCCTGAATACAATGTGGTGCCCATCCTTGAAGGAGAAATTCAAAAAAATGCATCATTTCCCCAGTTGAGTATGTAGTTAGCCCATATGAGTTGTTGCTAATGTGCACAAATGTCACAATGTTTAGGTTCTTGTTCCAAATTATCAACACCATCTAAGTATTTAAGAAAAAGCATACCTGTGGGAGGTATATTGGTAACACTTTCTTCTAATGATCGTAAGACAAGTTCACAGTAATCACCAGAGAGGCTACCCATGGGAATGCCACAATTCTGCAGGAAAGTATTGGCTTCAAAGAGTAGCACAACAGCTGAACCAACTGAAGAATACTGTTGTGATACACTACTGTCCCTTTGATATGCAGAAAAAATTGTCATCCCAGAGATGACAAAAACAGTTCTATTTTGGTCGAGGGGTACAAAGTTTTTTTCGAAATGTTTAAATTTCACCTTTACAACCTGATATTTATACCGTCAGTTTGGATAGATTTGATTAGTTTTGTTTTTTATTTCATGCATTATAAGGCTATATGAGATAGTTCTACAATTACTATCGTAAACACACGAAACTATTATGTGTAAATTATTTTTAAAAACCATCTGATATTTATTATACACGGTACTGCAACTAGGCGGATGCACAACAGTCCAGAACGAAGGGTTCCTAAAATGGTCGACACGGTAAAACCTAAGTCGAACTGCGTTAACTCTAAGCTGTCTACAGGTCCTGGGCAAAGTAAGTGGGTTTTCCATACAATGTGATATCGTTAAGTCAAAATTGTCGATACTTTTAACTAGAACATATTTTTCCGTGTACCCTCCATCCTTTGATAGATCCGTGATCTTCATTTTCTTTTAATTCAATATGAATATAGAAGATTAAGATAAACACTACGGCTCCATGCCGAATACAAGAACATGCCGTTACAACTTCGTATCTACAGTACATCCTTTTACTGATATAGTATGTTACTAGCGTTCTGATTGAATGCCATTGCCTTGTTCCTTGACAACGTACAGTACTCAAAAGCGCCTTATAAACTAGTGTATTGTACAATTTTGTAATCATTCTGTGAATAGATTCTTGAAAAACTGCTTGATAACGGGAAATTCGCAGCAACAGAAAACTCGAGAAAATTGGATATTAAACTTGTTTAATGGAGATATGTATTTTATTAAATTATTTAAACTTCGACTTCACTAGGTTTTATTGTACAGTATTATATTTTATTTTCAAACGTTGACAAAATTTAACCAAAAATGTTACTGAATGAGTCGATTCCATAACATTTTTGGTTAAAGTTAAAAATAACCGGAATAATTTCATACACCACACACACACACACACACACACGTTCAAAAATAGAGCCGAAAGTATAATCTTGAACTGTGAACATGAAAAACTTAATTACCACTCTGATTATGCAAACTATTCCTGGAACTTTTTGAACAGATCTTATAATTTTGTAAATGAAGGATAATAATTCTGAAAAAATTTTGGATCAGCAAAATTCAATGAGAATTTTTTTACGTATAACATTATCGCAAACTGGAGAATTTTCAGGTAAAAAAAAAAACCTAAAATATTGCAAAATACCTAATTTACACTCTCGTTTTAAGTTTTCTAATACAAATCATTTTTAAAAAGTCCTTTTAGTTTTTGGAATAGGAGATCAATTTTTAAATTTAACTGCAAAAGAGTGAAATATATTGAAACTTCCTCTAAAATATTTTATCTTGATGATAATGTTTAGACAAGGATAAGACAAATCCTTAAATTTTAATTTATAACTTTTCTCCCCCCGTGAAGTGCGCTCTATAGAAAAATAAGGTAGACAGTGTGTGAAAATAATAAAACCTACCAGAGAACAAGAAAACCATAGTGTATTCTTATACCATAAAGAAAAATAACAGAAGTCGCTTCCGTTGAATGAAAATACACGTATTGTTTGCTTCCTGTTATTAGGTAGTATTGACTGATAAACTTATCAATGAACCGATATGAAATATCTGAATTAATATACAAGATAATGATTTATACTTGTGTAATAAACAAAATATTACACATAAGTAAACATTTATCGTACGATTTTCGCAAAAAACAGGAATATAAATCTTTAAATGCACTATTATACGTAAAATTGAGTTTACTTTCGTTTACCATTTAAACAGATGTGAAAATTTAAATTTTGAAAACTATTCCTTTATATGTTCGTTACTGATAATGGCTGCATAGATATACGAAAACGTTAGAAAATTAAAGATTTTTGCTTGAACAGGTTGGAACTTTTTATTTTTACATTTATTCCAGTTAAGAAATACTATTAAAATAAATGTATTATTAATAGTTTTAAATATTGAAAAGGGCAAAGGGTACTTATTTAAATTTAAAAAATCTTCTTACGTGAATACTGGAAAGCATATAAATTAACACTCCTAAACCTTAGAAGTCCAGTAGTAAACATTTAATAGCAAACGAAGAAGACAAAGTACGATCGAAAACGTTTGTTTGCTATTAAATGTTTACTACTGGGCTTTTAAGGTTTAGGGTACTTATTGCTGAAAACTCGTCATGCCATTTTCCTATAGTAAAAAGTACAGTACTGTATGAACAGTATTTTGTACTATTCGACATCTTATTCTGTCCTTAACTTCTTCATTTTCACTAATTCCTTAATAGATTCTTTCTACATACAATTATTTTTTTCATTATTTTATTATTATTTGCTAATAAAATAGATTATGATATTGCTTCAGAAACTCAATTTTGTAAGCTTATAAAATACAGCAGTAACTCATTCGAATTGAAAGTTCGATTTTCTAACCTTAGATGAATCCTAGAGTAAAAGTTTTACTTAAACGGGAGTTTCAGACGTTATTTTAAACATTGAAATACTTTTGAAAATAACATTTTTGAAATACGTACTCGGAGACATTTTCATCAGTAATTGGCGCAATTTATTAGAAAAATAATCTATTGCTGTATTCAGTATAGACAATAACTTCAAAGGCAGAGCGTGGTTTAGTTCATAAGATAATTTTTTTTAAAAGACATCTTTGAATAAAAACTCCAGCAACCAGTTGCATAACTTTCCCGGCGAAAGATATTTGTCTACGAAAGAGGTAGGTAGGTAGGTTGCGGTTGGAACAACGAGGAACAGTTTCAACAATTCCAGTTCCAGCAGCTAAACTGGAACTCCCACCTCTACTAAGAAACACGTCAGTGCAAAGATAAAATTGTGTGGGAGCACCATCTTTCATATTATTAATTAAATAAAATCTCAGTTATTTTCCATTATAAAAAGGCAAAAAGCTTACGTTTGAGGATAGAGACGAGTTTTTTTTAATTGTAAATTCCAATGAGTAAAATTTTTATTAAGTCCGATCCCACTCGAGATATGGCACACATACTTTCTATCTCCCCACCAACGAGATACATTAACATAGAGTACTAAACCGGTTATTACAGCTGAAGCGAATTGTAGTGCGGCAGCAATGACAGTTGAAGTGGACTTCATCTATTAACTAAATTTAAGTTAATGATAACTGAAGATATTTTGCAATGTAGATAAAATCAATGAAATTGTTTCTTTACATATACTATACAATGTATCAAAATATACTGTGTAAAATTTATCATAATTCTATTATATTATTTCATAAAATTTTTAGTAAACTTTTCAGGAATTTTAGAATAATTTTTATTATGTAATAAAATTATAATTTTTCATTTGTAAGATTTATGTTAATATACACATATCGACATTACATATTAAGCATAAAGTTTTACAGTGCAATGCAAAATATATTACACATGCTGTATATTATTTTTAAAAAATAGTGATATGTTAACATTAATTTTTATTATATAATAAAATTATTATAATTTTTCATTTGTAAGATTTTTCTAAAAAATTTAGTAAAATTTTAAAAAACTAAAGATGCACAAGTAAGACAAATGTTTACAAAAATGATTATATTTAAAGGACAGTGATGTGTATCACTGTCCTTTAAATATACAGTAATCATTTTTGTAAACATTTGTCTTACTTAATTAAATGCCTCAATATCCTTTTTTCT